CCATGAATTATTACCAAGTATAATTTTTAAGAAAAAATGTAAGTGTAAAATTTATCTTAAATTAAAATTTACAAAATCTTTTTTTTTCAAACAGTTAAAAGAAGTAGTGAATCTCTAGACTTAATCCACTCAAATATTGATGATTTAAAGTTCAAGCAAACTAGAGGTGAAAAAAAGTATTGTATTATTTTTATAGATGATTGCATAAGGTATTGTTATACCTATTTGTTTAGGACAAAAGATGAAACTCTTAAAATGTTTAAACATTACCAGAAAAAGATTGAAAATCTATTTAACAAAAAAATAAAGGTAATAAAAAGTAATTGAGATAGCGAATACAATGCAATATTTAGTGAATTCTGCTCTTAAAATAGTATTATCCATCAAACTACTGCTTCTTCTTCACCACAACAAAATGACATTGTGAAACGTCTAAACATTAAGAGAAATGATGAATGTTGGATAAACATATTTATCGGATAAACATAAAATAATAATACATATCGATTTGATGTACACAAGTCAAGCATTGAAGATATTCATCCGAATACTATTATGAAATCAAGAAATGCTATATTATTTAAGGATATGCTAAATTATTCACTTAAAAAAATGATTGAGGCTAGCTTAAGTAATCATCATCATTAAGAATATGAAGAAATTGAGCTTAGAAAGAGTAAAAAGGAAAAAATAACCAAAATATTTAGTTTTAATTTTTTAACATACTTATTAGAAAATAAACATTAAACATACTCTGAGGCAATGTTATGCCCATAAGCTTTCTATTAGAAAAAGGCAATTAATAGTGAAATTTAATTTATTATGAATAATTATACATGGGAGCTATCAGATCTTCCTCCTATAAATAAACCATTAAGTCATAAGTGGATCTTTAAAAAAATGATGAAAGTTGATGGCATGATTATTGATAAATATAAAGCTAGACTTATTATTAAAGATTTTAAACAACAAGAAAGTGTTGATTATTTTAATATATATTCACTCGTGTTAAGAAAACTTCCATACGAATATTAATAACCATAACAACTATTTATAAGCTTGAAATACATCAAATAAATATAGAAGTAGTTTTATTAAATGGTGACCTTGAAGAGGAAGTTTACATGGAACACCTGAGGAGTTTGTTGTCAATGGAAAAGAAAATAAAGTCTATAAACTTGTCAAATTATTATATGATTTGAAACAAGTATCCAAACAATGACATGAAAAGTTTGGCAAAGTTATATTGTCAAATGAATTCAAAATTAACGAAGTTGATAAATATATTTATATGAAAGACACAATCAAGGTTATATCATTGTACATCTCTTTACGAACAATATACTAATTTTAGATAACAATGATCACATGATCAAGTCTACTAAGAAAATATTAATGAACAAGTTTGACATGAAAGACATAGGTGTTGCAAATGTCATATTACAAATAAAAACTTCTAAGAGATCTAATAGATTAATATTGTTCCAATCTTATTATGTTAAGAAAATTCTTGAGAAATTTTCTAAAGATGACAATATTATTGTCAAAACACCAATTAATATAAGTGTATATTTGTTCAAGAATGGAGGTTAGAGAACAAACCAATTAGAATATTCTTGATTAATTGGTAGTCTAATGCACGTTATAAACTGCACAAGGTCTAATATTGCTTTCTCAATTAGTAAACGGAGTAGATTTACAAGTAATCTAAGTATAGAACATTGAAAGGCAATAAAAAAGGTACTCAAGAAGTATAGAACATTGAAAGGCAATAAAAAGGGTTACTCAAGTATTTGAGATATACCTTAAACTATAAGTTATACTATACTAGTTATCCAGTAGTACTAGAAGGGTATAATGATACTAATTTGATATTCGACATTAAATACTCATAATCTACAAATGGACAAGTCTTTTCATTTGCTAGAACAACTATGTCATGGAAACATTATAAACAAATGTGTATCGCTAGGTCCATCATGGAATCGAAGTTTATTGCTCTTGATAAAGTTGGAGAGAAAGCCAAATGAATTCAAAATTTCTTTGAGGATATTCCATATTGGCTAAAACCAGTATCAATTATTCATGTCCATTATGATAGTTAGTTAGTAATTGGAATGGCACAAAGTAGTATGTATAATGAAAAGTCTAAACATATACGTTATAAATAAAATATTATTAAACATTTGTTCTCAAATTAAATTATTTCCATTAACTATGTAAAGCTAAAGAAAAATATCACAAATTCATTAACCAAATAATTGTCTAGAAAACTTGTGTATAATTCATCAAAGGAAATGGACTTAAAGCTACCATATCTAGCTGATTGAAGATTCTAAGAATTAGGTTCAAATAAAAAACTAAGTCATATAATATTTTCAGTAGCACTAGAAAATTATTATTTCCTTTTTATTCTTATGATGAAATAAGTGTTAGCTACAACATGATAAAAAGTGAGCTGAGATCTTAATAATTTTCATATCTTGATTCACCAAATGAATTATAGCATAATACTTTTAATGAAATATCACCAATACGAGTGAGAAATGTGGTCCTTTCTTTAGGAATTTCGATAAAGATTGAATTCTCTAAAATAATCATGAATCCAAGAGTTATTCAATGCCAAAATGAACACAACAGTAAGAATCAAATGAAATCTCTAAGTAGAGAATTATGTGAGTATTATTGTTTTGGTTTACATAAAAGGTTGAATGGTTTAAAAAATTACATTCACTTTTTAGACGAGTAAATTTGATAATATTTCACTAAAAAAGGTTCAAAGTCAAAAGCTACCTATCTTGATTTTATAATCTATCAAATTAGTATCTTTCAATAAATTTGTAAGTCATTTTCAAACTTGTGAGACAATTTCCATTCATATGAGAGATTGTTGGATTTATTTAATTAAACAAATTATAAATGAATGAGAAATTAGTTTAAAAATATCCTTGTTTTTCCTACTTAAAGAACTTTTGATTTTTCTAGATTTAATTCTTGATTTAAGATGGTTAATTAAATGTTGATATTGGTGAAAATTAATCACTGTTATTTCTTTAACTTTTTAGCTTTTAAAATTCACTATGAAAAAAGAAAGGTGAAGAAAAAGTTTTTAATTTGAATTTTTTTGTGATTTTACACGCTTTTCCTCACCTCATTTTTTTATTTTTCTTTTTTTTTTTATGTTTTGATTTTTCTTCCACATCTAGAGCATAAGTTTATTTTGTTAAAAGATATTTCAGTTACATAATTTTTTGTTCAAAAACCTTGTTTAAAAGTGCTTATAAACTAAGATGATGATGTTGGAATCTTAAGAGATATATTGTAAACATCTTAGTTGCATAAGTGATGAGCAATAAAGTTTTAAGGATAAAAGATTCATCCTTGACAACAACTATAAATTCATTACTTCAAATTGCTTCAACAAGGAAGCATTTTCTTGTTTTAATTTAAACATAGTTAATTTTATTACTAGTATGTAAGCAATTCAAAGGCAAACAAAAATTTTCAATTGGAGAGAAATTAAATTAAAAAATATCTTTAACAAAAGAAACAACAAGTAAAAAAAAAGGTTTAAATTGAAAAAAATAAAACAATTAAAACTTTGATTGAAATATGAAATTGAAAGCCAAGAAAAACTTTAACAAAATGGTCAAGGAAAAAAATTAACAATCAAAAGAATAAAAACCAAAATGAAAAAAAAAAACATAACAAAAATTATAATTGGATGACTAAATTGAAATAAAAACAAAAAAAAAACAAAACTTCTATAAAAGAAATAAGAACACAATAAAAAAAAAAGTAAAAGAATGAGGACTGAAATTGAAAAAGAAAAACCATATATTTTACCTGGAAAAAGATAGAAAAGAAAGGGAAAAAACAACCACTAGCGACAATTTAGCCACCATATACTGTCACACACCACACCATCTGAAAGAGGACTTGGTGACCCATCCAAAAAGACAATAGAAAGTTAGGTTTAGATACTAAATAATATCATATGCAATACACTTTTAAGTACTAATCAGTGACCCATCTAAAAAGACAATAGAAAGTTAGGTTTAGCTACTAAATAATATCATATACGCTGCCTGAATAACACAGACACTATTTATTTATTAAACACGCATCAACAATTTTTTTAATTAAAAATAAAAAAGTCAATATGAAAAATCCCATGACTCTAATAATTACCCAAAAACTAATGTAAAAGTATAATAACATCTCTAAATGATAACCTTAACCTTATTTTATCTTTTTCAATACCAGAAAGTGCTTTAACTATAAATAAATAGTGAAAAAACCAAAAAAATTATGACCCAACAATTTTTTGATCTTAAAGGTAAAAAAAAATACTTTTATCATTTAAAAATTTATGAAAAGTAAAAAAAAAAACTCTTGATGAATAACTTTAAGTTTTGTTGACTATAAAGTAGAAATATTTTTACCATACAAAGAAAGAAAAAAAGAAGCTTAAGAGTTTTTTTTTTTTTCCTACTGGAACAAAAAGGTAATTTTACTTTAGCAAACCACAGCCATTTATATCTAGGGCTGCAATGAAAGACTTGGCCATGTAATGTTCGGTTTTATATTCAGTTTTATATATATATATATATATACGGGGAGAGCGCATTAAGCAGCTAGTAGTGCAGGTGGCATGGCAAACTTGCATACAACAGACAGTTACAACGCAAATGTATCATCGACTTTGTTTTTCTCTGTACAGTTCTCCCTAGAATCTCATCTGAGCACCTAAATCCATCCTTGTGATTTTCCATAAGAAAACTCATTCGCATATTCCGCTACTGGTAAAATTTCACAACTTAACAAGGAGGACAAGGGCTAACGGGATGCATTTCAAGGATTGAGACTGTTTTGGAGGCATCATCAGATTCCTGACACTATCTCAAAGGATTATTGGGTGATTGATTAAAACTGTGGGGCATGAGGACAAACATAAACACAGACAAAGGAGCAAAGGTCACAGATACACAGATTCAAGCTTCAGCAACACGAGGCTTAAAACTCAAGTTATCTTGCTATAGAAGCTCAGATGATACGGTTTCTTTAGTAAACAAAACTTCTGTGGAGAATGAGGGAATTGCCTTGTTCCTTGACTAAAACTACGTGTACAAAAGATAAAGAAACCAAACCACCCATATAAAATAGAAAGAAAATAAAAGAAAAGGAGACGATTGAGCAGTGATTTTCTTTTTCTGTAGATCTGTTAATTCCTTGATTCCTCTCCAAATACCTCATCGTTGCAAACAGGACATACCTGACAAAACACATCAAGAACAGTACGAGACATAATATGAAAAGCTGATTTGCAGAGTTCAGAAAACTTTTGCTTTGAAGCGACATTGACTGACCTTATTGATGCCAAGCCACTTGGTGATACATTCAGAATGGTAAGCATGTTTGCACAACAGTTTTATTTGCTTATCCCCTATTTTGTATTTCATCTGGCAAATCACACATCTGTCTCGCAACAATAGTCAAATAAGAAAACGGTGAACAGCTTAAAAGAGGTTAAATGAAGGGTTAAAGACCAAAAAGCAACGAGTAATGCATCAGTTAGCTACCTTGATAAGAGTCTAATAATTTTATTATTACTTGCTATGTAAGTTTTAAGTTGCCTCTAATGCCTTTTATATTATCAAAAAATTTAATGGACAGTTCAGTTATGCAAAACATTACCTTTCCCCAGATCTTTTTCTTGAGAAGAAGCTTCCAAACTTGCATTTTGAGGTTGGAAGCAAGCTGATAAGTTCAGGAGATAGACCTTTACTTTGAGTTCCAACAGTCTCACCTAGGTCGACCAATTCCTGAGGCACAGAAAACATAGCTACTATAAAATCTTCATCTAAACTATAAGCTAATAACAACAATATCCTGAAAGCATTCGATATAAGAAGACACTAACACTCGGAGATATGCATAGCATGTATAACACCATCCACTTTTAAAGTGAATCAAAAATCTCCAATAAAACCCTTTGCATATTTTGCTCGCCCTAATTAATATGCAAGTATTATGCAACTTTGAAGAAACACCGAGTCTATGCCTTTAAATAATGGCATTCGACATTCTATTTCTTTAAACAGAAAAGAGCAATTAATTGGCATGGTTGTAAAGAAAGAAAATATTATATACTTATTAATGTATGTACCCCATTCAGAGCAAAAGAAAAGGGTAAGTATATACTGATATTTGTAAATGCTTGCCCAAGGCTTGTATAATAAGTAAACTTAATTTATTGCAAGGAATCTAACAGGACAATTTACATAAACCATACCTCATATGTCATGGTATCTGGATTAACATCATCTTGCCAAAGAGCCTGCAAAAATTCAAGGAAAAACCTGAAGGCTTAATTAGTTTTGTACATTACACTGGCACTGTAGTGAGCAACTATAATTCAGCAAGTAAACTCCATGAGATCTGATGCTGAAAGTAACAAATCAATGGATATTTGAAGTTTGTAAGATATTCTGTAGAAAGACAATCATCTCATTTAAAAAATCGACCAAAAGGGATCATAATACAGATTCATTTGCTTTATCAAGTTGTCCTATGATGACCTTAGTATAGCACTTTGACTAGAAAATAAATCAATAAATGAAGATTAAGATGAACTTCTTTCCTTGTAAACCCAGGACACTTTTAAGTAATGAGCAAGTTGAAGATGATGCCAGGAACTGGAGCATAACATGTCATAAACATAAACTAACAGTAAGAAGTTTATGCAAATGCATAAGACTACATCAGAAAAAGAACTTCATACCTGTGGACTATTGGTGCTTGCCTGATTTGAAATGCCTGCAGAAGCAACACAACATTCAAAAGATCAGAAAGACGTTCACAAAAACTGAACACAAGAAAATAGCTCCACACAAACATCAACTGGCAAGAGACAAACATTGTGGATCCCTTTTAGTTATGAAACCTAAAATACATTACTGTACATCTACCACGCCACTAAAAAAAGATGCTTTCTAACTCGAACCAGCCAATAACTAGAAAATTAGAAGATCCTTGATCAACAAAAAAGACAAGCCATCTATTGTACATTATGTATCAATTAACAGGAAATACAAAAATGGAACAAACTTCTAACTTTCTTCAGGTATGGCATGCACTCCCATGTTCGCATCTCCTTCAAACTGTGTGTCTGTGGTTGTGGGCTCTTCAGCACTCACTACTGAAGGGTATTCCCAAGCCATCCTGCTCACATCCATTCTTGGTAAATTATCATTTACCTCATATGGACTATAGTAAGAAGCACTCCCCAGACCAGAAAATCCAAATTTGTATGCATTCATATTCATTGACCAATATGAATTGTCCTGAATAGACAACATTAGAAAGGGAAAATGAATTATAAGAGAAGTTGAAGCTACCATTTCATAACCAAACCAAATAACAGGAATAAAAAACCGAAAATGCTAGCTAAGAACATTCAACAGGGTACCTAAGCGTGTAATGGAATCATGAATATTTTCATTCATCAATAGTGCAGACTGCAGGGATAATAAAGGATAGAAAATAGAGCCATAGCAATATGCACGCAAGTAGAGCATTTTGAGCTTCACAATACTTCAAGGGCAGTCCACCTCATTACAGTGTGCACCTTACATTATTATTATTAAAGTGTGAACCTGACATTATGATGTTGGAAAAGGATGCATACATGAACAAAACAACCTACATCTCTTTTCATTTAAAACAGTGCCTGAAGCACGAAGAACCTGACAAGTTATTTTTGAAAACTTATCTCATAGGTTTTCTTTTCTTTACAAACACAAAAACTGAATAAAAATTACCAAGTACCTGATCATGCATTGGTCCATTGTGAGCATAATTTACTGGAGCATGAGTTAGTCCTTCAAAGAAATCCATAAAGCATTCAGTGGTAGTGTAAGGAAAGTCGGTGCTCATATAATGCACTTCCATTTGTCTATTCCCATTCATTTTGTCACCACTAAATTAGCTCCAATTCTAACAAATCATAAAGCTGCAAAGTCGACAGGAATTAACAACATCAAATTCCCATCAGAAAACTATTGCCATAAAACCCATCAATCATAAAGTGGGGCATGGTAAAGAACCTTTTGTTTCCTGTATAGTAAAAGGTGAAAGAACACAACTTTAAATAACATCAAGATCCATCAGCGATGGCAAAATTCCATAATCCTGGAAAAGAACGGTAAGAATTCATAATTTAATTTCAGAGACAAAAAAAACCGAATTATAACATGTCAGCCAATAAATAATCAATTAAATTGTCAAATTTAGGATGTTAAAACGGTCAAACTCACAAAGGTTGAAACGGCAGTCAAAACTAGACAAAATCAGGAAAATGCATGAGGGGGGGGAAAGACAGAAAACAAGAGAAAAATTCTCACTTTGCAAACTAAATTTGAAAAGCAAATGTTGAAAGAACTTAGCTGTGCAGAACCTAGAACCCCATAACTTCTATCTCTTTTCTTACACTCTCAAACCTCAAAAGCAGCAGAAATGAACCACAAAATTCAAACAAAATAAAAATAGAGAAAACGAAAAAGAAATCGTCTTCCTTGGTTTTCTCAGAAACCAAACAGAGAATACAGATATTCTGTAACACTGTTTTTAATGATACTACAACTCATTTAGCAAAAAGGCTAGGCATTTCAGCTAGAAACTCTGCAAAGATATCTATAATGTTAATTAACAGAGAAAATGAGTTAAAATAAAGAAAAGCAGGGAAGTCAGGAAAATAGGTAATCACATTGATCAAAATTCAAAGCAGTTTCTCGATTAACGTTAAGAGATAAAATTATATATAAATAGAAACAAAAAACACAGAAAGAGTTTTTTAAAAAAAAGAAAGAAAGAAAGAAAGAAAATTTGAGAGAGAGAGGGGGGAGACACCTGAGAAGAAAAGGAGAGAATGGGAAGCAAGAAGAGGCCTTCTTCTTCTTCATCTCTTTCCGTGTGTTGGTATGTGGTATGTGAAGTGCGTGCGTGCGTGTGTGTGTGTGGGTGTGTGTGTGTGTGGGAGAGAGAGAGAGAGAGAGGGAGGGAGGGAGGGGGGGAGTAGAGTGAAAGCAGAGGGAATGGACAATAGATATATCAGTTTTTTTCACACAGCAACTCCCTCTCTCTCCTCCCACCTGCTCAGTGGCGCTTTTTAATTTTTATGCATGAGTTTTTTATTGCAGCGTACAGACAGACACGTTACTTTCTTGCATTTAACTCGCTTTTCCTACCAAACGACGTCGTAGTAGTTTGGTGGGTTTATTAACTTTTTTGCACCCAGATGCATGAGTTATAAAAGATCTAATTTATAATATTATTTCATTTAAATTGTTCTAATTAATTAACTGTTCACTTCACTGTTTTTTTAATTTATCCGATCAGTTTGGTTAAGTTAGATAATTATTCTTGAACAACATTATCGATCTTTTTTTAATAAAAAGAAATTTATTTTTGCAATAAAATTAAGAATATAATATTTACAATCACTCAAAGCTATTCCAAGACGGGATTATTAACCAAATATTTATAAATTCCCATGAGTTTTTTTTGCATAATCTAGTTAATTTTGAGCAATATCATGTCGAACCTGATTGTACATTTTTTATGTGGATATGCATATGATTTGTGCGCAATCTCAAATACCCCACGATCGTAAATTATATTGCAAAGTTAGCCTTATGTTTTTATTTTAGCATTTTTTTTTTGTTTTTTCTGTCAATAGAAAAAACCTAAGAAGTGAAAGCTTCAGAATGGAGTATTATCGTGAAATTGGTTGTGAACAAAGGAAGATAACTGGGCAGGCTAGTAGTTTGAAATTAAAAAATTTATTTTTTTATGATTTTAAGTTTGAATTTTATGAATATTTATATGATAGGATGGTTATTAAAAATTTACATAATTATTAATTTTAAAATCCATAAGAATAGTTATAAAGCGTTTATAATCCAAACATCTATATTAATTACAAAAAAAATAATTAAAGGCTAAAGCTATCTTTCAACAACTATTTTCTAATTTTTTTTATGTTTATCCATTATTAAAAACACATTGATCAACAAAAACACATTTTTTAATTAAAAAAATGGTTTGATTTTTAAATAAGTATTTTTATTTTATTTTAAGTAAATTAGACTTTTTAAAAATTATATATTTAAAAAATAAATTAGACTTTTTAAAAATTATATATTCAAAAAAATCATGTTATTTATTAAGTATATCAAATTTAGTTCTTCATTTTTTTTATTACTGTATGTTTTGTTTTGAATTTTTTTGAATTTATTTATTTTTAATTTTATTCTTTAGAATTTGCTATAATTTGATTTTCATATCAACTTTGATCTTTATTCTTTTATTTGTTATTTATTTTCTGTTTTTTTTCTTAATTAAAATTTTTCATCTATCATATTTGGTTCTTAATCTTTTGATTATTATTTATTTTATTTAAAATAATTTATGAAATTATAATTTTCCATTAAAATTTTATTTAAAATAATTTATGAAATTATAGTTTTCCATTAAAATTTCATCATCTTTCAACTTTTTTTATCTATTAGATTTTATCTTTATTTTTTTATTGTTATTTATATTATTTGAAATAATTTATTAAATTAATTTTTTTTTAAATTTCACCCCCCTCAACTTTCTCATTTATTAGATTTCATCCCTGTTCTTTTAATAAACTTAAAAAAGTTATTTTTCAGCTTGTTTTTCATGTTATAGTAAAACACTGGAAAATATTTTTTAACTTATTTTCTATAATATTGATAAATATTAAAAAATAATTTATTTTTCAATCATTTACTTTTTTAAAAAAATTACTTTCTAATAAACAAATAAACTTAAAATTAAAAACAAACACCAACATGATAATGTTTTTTTAACGCTAGTCATACCCAAACGATAGAAGTTGGCTCGTTCTAAATTGACAAAAATATTCAAGGATGATTAAATCAACCCATAAGTAATTAGCATAAATAAATAATAAACAAAGGGGTAATACCTCCTTCTATTGTTGTTAAAATTGTGTGTTAACTTATAAAATTATATGATTTTAGGAGTTAATATGTATCTAACATGAAAAATTGAATTAAAAATTCAAAAACCAGTAAAATTTAACTTGACTCGTGAAAAATCGATAAACTCGGTTAAAATCATGATTTTGCACCCAAGTTTACATGTTTATAAAAAGTATAAATACTATTGTTGATTCCTAAATTATCTAGCTCGGTTTCTAAATTCACATTTCTCCTTCTACAAAAACTTTATTTTTGCACTCTCGCTAAACTATAGAACTTTAGAAATTACACTGCAAAAAAAATATTTGATGAGACAAAATCAATAGTTGCATCAAATGGTGGGACTTTGGAGGTATGGCATGAGGTTTAGTTATTGTTTAGAGGATACTTGGTAGGTTATTAGGGGTTGATTTGTGTTAGAAGGATAGTGAATAGAGAAGTAGTTAGTCCTAACATAAAAATGGCCATATAGGTCCTTTTTTATTTCTTTTTATTAAGTGAACATAAACATATTAGTCACAAAAGTATTTCAAATAAATTGAGTATGATTTTGATATTATTATATGGAATCTCATGCAATATCAAATAGAAATAGATAAATATCATGTATTCATAAAAAAAAAAACTTTAAAAACTATAATGCAGTGATTTTAAGTTTGAGAACTTGATATTATTTTAAAAAAGATAATAACCTTTTAAAAAAAATTATTTTGGGTTTGAGAACTTGATAAAACTATATTGCGATGATTTGAGTTTAAATTGTTGATTGTTGTGTTCAATCTTTTTTGCAATCCGTCTTATATAGTCAGTTTTGCAATCCATCTTATATAGTCAATTATACAATGTTTTCATCAATTATAAGTCAATTACTGATAATTTTTTATTTTTCAAGGCTTTTTCATGAACTCACATTCATAAGAATTGTTACCTTTTAAATACATGGCATATTACACCTGCTTGTAAAGTTAATCTTGTATGCATGTTTTTTCTTTTATATATATTTATCTTCTAAGTTTCTTTTAATTAATCCTAGTTATCATATAACATTTACTTATTTCCATGTGTTTTTATAGTGTAACACTATGTTGGCTAAAATGATTGGAAAAATCATTTTTTGACGTTATATTCTTGGGTTTGTTCTATTTGATCCTTGTGAACATAGTTTCAAAACTCAGCCGACCCGGGCCGGGTCTAAGTAAAAACCAGCCTAGGATTTGGCTTAACCTTTTGTATATATAAATTATTTTTTGACATTATCTATCGGGTAAACCTAACTGAGACTCGACCTTATATATATATATATTAAACAACATCGTTTTGGCGGTTAAACTATTAATGATGAAGATAAATTGAGAATTGAGAAAACCTAATTAAAGAAATATTTAAAGTCATTTCAATCACGAAGAAAAGTAGAAGACTCTTAATCACTGTTTCAAATTTGTGAATAAGGTTAGTTGAAATTAATGTTGTTTCTCTTCACGACTCTCCTACTTTCACTCTCTTTTCTTTATTTTTTACCTCTTTTTTGAACTTGTGGTTCTTAATCTGACATCGATTCTTTCCTCTTCTCACACTTATAGGTATGTTTCTCTATTCTTTTCTTTTCTACAACAAAATAAAGCTTCCGTCTCATTATTACCAGAGAAGCAATAACTATATATAAAGGATTTACTTTTCTTAATTTATTTTAATTATTTCTTCATGTGCTGCATATTAGTTAACTGACTCATTTTTCTTCTTCATGTTTTTTTGATGTGCTTGACAAAGAAGAGGACTTAGCCGACCAATTTAGTAGTACAAGCCTTATTGTTCTGCAATCCCGATAGTTTTTGTGTTTTTTATTTTTTTTATTTTTAACAGCTCATGTATACAATTAGTTAGCTGATGTTTAGAGACAATTTCATTTTACCTCTATAATTGCAACTCAAATTTTGATGATGAATTATTCATTTGAAAGAAGATTGATACAGATTGGAATTTCCCCATTCCAGGTCATTTCTTCTTTCTAAGATAAAAATTGACTTGTTGCATTATTAATGAATGGATTTCTTCATTCACAAGAAAATAGGCTTATATTTTAGTATATAGTTCAAGTAACCACTTATATTGTACTGGGTAGTTGTTTTCTAGAACATAATGTCCAATTTATCAGGATTTCTTCATTCTTTGTGATCAATGTAGTGATTCATCTAAGGAAAGAAGTTTTTTTACTAGCTATTATGTCAAACTGTTTTCTAACTATAGGGTGCTAATTCCCTATATATTTCCATTTTTTATGAAAGAACTAGAAAATGCTTTGCTGCTCGGTCTGAATATATAATAAAAGTATATGATTTGGCTTGAAATTATATTTTCTTTTATAAATTATGTCAATGCTAAGCTATGTGCAAAATAAAAAACTAGAATTGAAGTCTAAATATTCTGACTAAACAAATGATTTGGCTAATTGTTCTGCTAATTTTGTTAAGTAAATAGATTTTTCTTTTTTCTGTTTCTTTCCATAATGTCCCTTGTTCTGTAACTTTATTTTTCATATTGTGAGCCTTTTTTTCTCGTTTAATATAGTTCTTTAAAATGTCTTCATATGATGGTAGTACTTCAAGTAGTGATCATTTAACAGCCTAATCATCTCAACCTTCAATTTACATGTCAAGTGGTAGTAGAGGAAGAATAAACTTGGCATGGGATCATTGTAAAGAAGCTCCTGAACATAGTGTTAGATGTAAAAAAAACTAAATTAGTATGTTTATATTGTCCTAAAGTATTTGCTGGTGGTAGTATTAATCGATTTAAGCAATATTTAGCTGAAGATAAAAAAGAAGTTGAACAATGTCGCAAATATCCTTATGATGTTTGACATTAAATGCTTTTGAATCTTAAAAGAAATGTTGAAAAAAAAAAGTTAGAGAAATGCAAGCAGATTTCAATCCACTTAATGCACAATAAAGGGAGCATGAAGAGATGATGATTAGAAAATTAAAAG